TCATAACCATGCATAGTTTCTCTTAGTGGTATGTAGGCCTGCTTTGCATCACATTTTGGTTTATCTGGGAAGCGGTTTAGCTGCTGCTCTGATCAAGTGGTGCAATTTAATACTTAGCCAGACGCATGCTTATCTGAAGTACTTTGCGCTTTCTTTTAGACAAAGCAACGGTCTCTAAATGCTCTATTTTTGCGATCGTCACCTCCTCTGCCCTAGCCCATATTTCTGGCAGCACCTATCGGGACTCATTCATATATGATATTGACGCTGTGTATAACAAAAATGAGGTAAAAACAACTAAGGACTCTAGATGCTTCAATTAGTTTTATCGGTTGTTTTTGTCAAAAACAGCTTTCCTTGACCTAACGGATTTATTGCTTGGATGCTTGATCATGTACTACTTTCGCGTTTTCGAACGACGTTACGGGTCGCGGAAATATTTGGTAAGGCGTGTACATTATTTGATACGGCTATTTAGACGTCTGTTATTTGGATTTCTCTCCTGTCTACTGTTTTCGAACTTTTATTTATCAAGCTTTCATTATTCTTCAGAGTTAAGGCGAACATCCTTCCATCCGGACCGTAAGCTCGGTCAAGTGGTTTTGATTAACTTATAGGTTTTTTTTTATTTTTCCCTATTTTATTCCTTATTTTTATGAAATCCCAAACTTGTTTGTGATGAACGTTGGTAGATTGTCTATATCGAGGAAGTCGTTTCTTTATCTTATTGGCATACGGGTACGTTGTCAAGTAATTGCTAAGTAATTGCGGCGTTTAGTTAGCAACTTCCTCATTTGGCTCCCTGATCGTGTGTGGTTGTGGATTAGTAAGTCAATCAAATTTAATTGGCGCTTTTTTTAAAGTTTTTACTATTGAACATAAGGTTTGCCATAATTTTGAGAGCAAAATTTATTAATTTCGTTTTGAAGTATTCGCGCCGAAAATTTTGGTTTTTGGTTCAGCTATTTAAGCTCTCGCATACCGCAATGATTTTCTTTCAGGCTGCAGGTCTTGTCTATCGATGGACGAACTTACAAAAGGTTAATTTAGTACCGCTTGAGGTCGCTGAGATATTTGGTCGCGTGCTTGGACCTTTCCTACGTAGTGAAGCTCCCAATGATGCCTTGAAATCTGTTGGTGCCACTTTAGAACTTCAAAGACAAGAGGCTCTTGATAGGGAGGAACAGGCCTTAATGGATTTGAGACGTACACAATTTGGCAACGTGAGTGTTCACCCACAGCAAACACCGGTTTTAGCTGAGTAGCATTCAATGGTTAGCTTTATGGGTGTTTGATCCCTACGTTGCTATCCCGTAGGCGTCTTCGTTTCAATTATGCCTCATACGAATTTTGGCTCATTCTAGAGTCCATAAGTGACTTTCTATTTACGATTTTGGCAGAACTTGATCATCTCTTTCTTTTTTATTACATTTGCCATTTTAGGCAGAGATTTTTGTAGACGTATTTTTTCTTAACTTCCTCTGCTTCAATTGATTATCACATACAATGCCCTCCTCGTGTTGCCTTTAGAGATTGCTTGTTTTGTTTGACCCTTTTGTTTTAGATCACCCTATTGTTTTATTTTTAGAACAATAGGCGCCGAAACTACGTCCCACAGCCTCGTGAGGTATTATCTGAATGAAGATCGATAACATTGTGTTGCCAAACCAAGATTCTGTGCTTTTATAGATAGTTCATTTTACTGTTGTAATAATATGAATAACTTGCTTTTCTTTTTTTCTGCGATTTTCGGCACGTTAACATGTAAGTCTGTCCTTTTATATTGCAGATTCAAAACCTCATTGATATGGGCTTTTCTGAGGAAAGGTCTCACCTGGCATTGGCAGCTGCACGTGGGGATATTTACGAGGCGGTTAACCTTCTACAGGACCCATCTTTTGATTCGCATTAAGAACTCACTTTCTTGCAAGTGTATAGAATACACGTGGTTTTCAGTTTCGCTTTGGCTGCTTACTCCAAAATATGCAAGTTTTCCAGTTGTGCCTGATTGAAATGCGCTTCCGTTGCGGACCATAGAACTATAAATAGGGGCTAAATGTGGTGAGAATTATTCCACTGTTCTCGGCTGGAATGGAGTTGGTTGGTTTTATTTGGTTGCCTCATAGTTCTGTTTATCGCTAATTTTGCATGGCTAAACAACGGAGAACTGTAAAAGTAGATAATATTTTAGGGTATTGTGCTGTAGAGAGTCAAGGCTTATTC